GGATGTTAGGATGCAGATACAGGCAATTTCGTTTTCAGGTAGTGTAGACTCAGCCCCCTTTTTCTCATCCGAGACTCGCAGTATTTCTTACTATAATATCTGCGCTTTATCATTTTCCTTCACTCCATTCTATCTTCTGAACTTGAACTGTCAATAACAATAGTTTCAAAAAACAAAAAAAAACTATAAAAAGCGTGTTTTTTAGTTTTTTTCAATTTTTTTTTTATATATTTTAAAATAGTGTATTGTCATCGGTCCTCCATATATCTACAAAGTTTGAACAAATTCTGACCGTTTAAAGTCAGTCAAAATCACGCCCAAAGGAGTCGGTTACAAACAAACATACAGGTGTGAGGTGAAGCTAATAAAACGCGTGTAATAATTTTAATAAATTTGAAAAAAAAGCGTTGGGTGCCATTTGTCAATAGTAAACAGCACCCGACGCTTTTTTTCAAATTTATTAAAATTTATTTTCTGTTTTATAGTTTGGTTTTCTATAAAAAGCGTGTTTTTTAGTTTTTTAAGACTATTTTTTTTATATATATATATTTTTTAAATTAGTGTATTGTCATCGGTCCTCGATATGTCAACAAAGTTTGAACGAATTCTGACTGTTTAATGTCAGTCAAAATCAAATTAATCAAAACAAACATACAAACAACCATACAAGTGAAGTTAATAAAAAGCGTGTAATAAAAAGACTGACGGCTTGAATATGGGACTAATCCCACCCACACGCCCACCACTGTAACTCCTGTACACCACGATCCACAGCAGTGACCCACGAACATACCGAGTTATGACACTCGGGAAGTCCCAGGAAGAAATTAAACTGTCTTGGAACCCGCAACGAAATTAATCAGAAGAAAATTGGAGGAGTTGGAAATTCAGTAAATCCACTTCCCTCCTTAGCAAAGCGGGAGACAAAATGAAGTAAAATAGGCATACACCCTTTTAAACAGGGAAGCACCACGGCCACAAAATATTACGGGTATTACGTGAGCTATATTTGATTTCTATAATATGTATGGCAGAATCGCCTAAACGCACGGAAATTCGCCCTAGTTGACACAAGATCCCCATAGTATACCGCCCCAGATGTCACCTGCAAGCTATTCAGCATTATATAACGTTCATTATACCAAAGACTACATTCCCAGAGGATATGATAAGCAGATTGTTCATAGTGAGAGTTAGGTGTTGAGCATTGACACAATGGTGACTCGACTAATTTAAATGAATACAACTTGCTCTTAAAGTTACCATAACCCGTAAGAAATTGAGCGACACAGTGATCCACCTCAAGCCATGTCCTCGACAACCGTTCGCGAACAGATGGAAAGAATTGGTAAAGATGGCGCACCTTGGATGATTCGTCCCAGCGTTGCTGAAATTCGTCTATGAGGTCATTATAGACATCGGACTGCTGTTGAAGCAATCTTGTAATTTTACCGCGATCCCGCGCTCCCAAAAAAATCGCATTCCATGTTTTGTCTTGAGGGCTTGAATAAGGAACTTGAGATGAACAGACAGGAAAGGCGATGGACCTTGTGTAATACCGCAATAGGCTGCTTGATTGATTGGGTCATAGTTATCCCAATAATTATGTAAGTTATATTAATCCATACTTATATTAATAACTAGCTGACCCGCGCAACTTCGTCTGCGTCTCTCAATAGTAATAATTTTTCTCCGTTTTTGAAACATTCTTCATTGGTGCTCCGCCCCTATTGGTCTTAGCGTGATGATATATAGCCTATAGCCTTCCTCGATAAATGGGCTATCTAAAACTGAAAGAATTTTTCAAATCGGATCAGTAGTTCCTGAGATTAGCGCGTTCAAACAAACAAACAAACAAACAAACTCTTCAGCTTTATAATATTAGTATAGATTTGACAGTGAGTTTGTTTGTTTTGCTTTCACGCCTAAACTACTAAATCGATTTTAAAAATGCTTTCACCAATTTCAAGATACATTATCAGCGAGTAACATACGCTACTTTTTACCGCGATAACTAACGTAGATACACGTGGGCGGAGCCGCAAAAAGCTAGTAATAAATATTTTATCCAATAAAAAATCTATAACATATGAAATGTTACTAGGTACAATCTTTTATACAACAAAAATCATTATTTTCTTAAGATAGATAGTAAGCGGTTTTAAAAGCTAGCACTGGCATAGACGAGATCATCTTCTAGACATAGACAGGAATAAGTTATCGGCTGCGGTATTTCCTGACCGATACGACCTTTAAACCTTTAAGAAAAGAGCGTACTCCTTCCTTAAGGGCTGGCAACGCGCCTGTGACTCCTGATTTGCAGGCTTTCATGGGCGGCGCAAGTCGCTTTCCATCAGGTGACCCATCTGCTCGTTTGCCCCTTATTTCATAAAAAAAACTCTCTTATCTTCTAGACGAAGTTATTTTTAACCACCGAAGCAAAAGAAGGGATGTTATGAGTTCGACGTTTCCGTAGTATCATAGTACCTAAATTAATGAACTAATTATGATGTGGTGTATTTGTTTGAAAGCTGACGTGATCGAGATGGTTCTTGGTTATACTTTTAGATTATCAGTTCTGTTCTAAGTTGATGAAGGGATCTCACTAAGTTACACAACTCCAATTGATTTGAAATTTGGTGTACTGTTACTTTAGTCCGTGTGGTGACGAATTAAGAATACGGAGTGTCACCACCCCTATTCATCCCTGGGTGTTGTAAAAGCCGACTAAGGGAACAAACTACGCTGGACAACAGCACTGCAAAGAGAAGCAAAGCTTGACACAAACCCTATACCAACCCGTCTGGCCAGCGTGGTGTAGTAGGCCAAAACCTCCTTTCTAAGGAGAGGCCTATATCCAGCAGTGGATTATTAAAGGCTGTTGATGTGATGTGATGTGTGATGTTACTTCCATGATATAGTAACCTTGACCTGATGCTGCAGCCAAATCTTGGGTTGCCAATAAATAAATAACCATTCTTTTTGTGTTATTTAACCGTAAATTCAAACATGTTCTTAAACATTTCATTCAATGTTTAAATTTTTACTTTCTATATAAAGACGATTCACGGGACTTAGAAGGCTTTTACTTTCTTCTTCACAATGTTTTACAAAGTCTTCACTTACAGGGTGTACTTAATATGACAAGTAGGTACTTACAACGTTAAGTTGGAAGCTTTGCCAATAAGTATCTTTGCGTACACCCCGCGCTTAAAAATAAGTCTTTATCAACATGCTACTTAACATGTAAAAAGTTAAAAAATTGACGTTCTCAAAATTTCTTTAAAAGAATATATGTGTGGTGTCGGATTAAGAATACGTAATGTCACCACCCCTATTCATCCCGTAGGTGTCGTAAAAGCCGACTAAGGGCGCAAAACAACGCAGGAAACCAGCACTGCAAAAAGATGGAAAACTTGACACAAACCCAATACCAACCCGCCTGGCCAGCGCTGCATTTAGGCCAAAACCTCCTTTCTAAGAAGAGGCCTATGTCCAGCACTGGACTATTAAAGGCTGTCGATGTGATGTGATGTGATATAAGTCCTATTTCAATTACTTTGAATTTCATTGTTAGTCTCTAGTCAAATAGACTGTTGGGCTTTTCTAACGTTTCGTGACTGATTTTGCTTGCTTTTCACTAAAATTTCTGTCTTAAGTACAAATATATTAGCGCTGTCGGGGATATTAAATAGTAATAATATTGTACCACATTCACACAACGCCATCTAGTCCCAAACTAAGCAGAGCTTATACTATGGGTACTAGACAACTGATATAAATACATATATACTTTTTTTTGTAAATACATACTTATTATAAATAGAAGAACCCAGACTAAATCAATCATTAAATGTTCATGCACACAAATGTTTGACTTGAGCGGGAATCGAACCCGCGACTTTTAGAATAGCACTCCGTTAAGCAAACCACTACGCCTTTCGGTCATAAGAGATACTAGTAATAGAATTAACTTCCATTCTGTCAAAGATTACAACTCAATAGTATGCAACTAATAAAGCTTGTGAAGTCTCTTGACATGAGGCCATAAAATGGTCAATTCATGGTTAAAACTGACACTACTGCATGAGTTATGTAGGCGTCAGCAACCGTTCGTCTCAGCCATGGTTAAAATTACTTTTAACAATTGTTTTAGAACCTATTTCTTGAATTTATTTCTTCGTATTTACATTTGTTTTGGACATCATCAATTATCCTAATCGAAATCAATCTAAATTATCACTTTTATTACAATTTTATTGCTTTAGCAGATGTTCGTTAAAATCATTAGTTGGGTGTTGGCGGCGAGCCAGCAGAAGCAATAACTCCGGCTTAAATGCGAAGGCTGTACGGTAGTTTCATTCTACTTCTCAAAGCAGTTTCATGTGGTTTAGAAGCTTCCTTGCCTGTACACTTAAAATTGGCCTCTAAGTGATTCCAATGTCATGTTTTGGACTGTTGCAAAACTTTGGTATATTCAGTTAGATACGAGTTGAAGCAAAAGATAACGAAAGTGAAGATTTTTGAACGTGTTAGGATAACTAGGTATGTTTGATTCTTCCATTCTACTCTATTCTTCGTCATTTAATTGTAAACTCCCTTCCTAGCCATATTCTCACTCACACACTCCATCCATCTTTTCTTTGGTTTTCCACTTCTCTTGTACATTTCATGGAAAATATGTTAAAGAAAGGGTTAGGTATGGGAATACATAACCCTTTCTTCGCCACATTTTCTTCATCCCTCCGCATGACATGTCCATGCCAACATAACCTATTATTTCTTAACTTTTCATCCAGTGGTGCTACATTCAAACTTCTGTGTGTTATGTGTATAAAAAAACAAAGAAACAGCAAACTCAAAAAATTGCATAATGTATTTCCATTTGTCTTGTAAACTCGTGTTCTTGTAAGGTTCATTTTGTTTTGACAATGCCTTTTAAAATACTGTTTTATGTTATAATCTTAATATACTATCCAATTTAATAATATCATTTTGACATGACAAAATTTCAGAATATGATTCAATTAAAAGGTCGGTGGTTTCCATTAAGGCACACAGTACAAAATGCTATTATCGACGGCACAAAATTTTAGTTTCGTTGGCTAAAATAGTTGTCAGTTTTAGTTGTTTTTGGACTTCTAGACAAATTTTCTGTAGATATATATATATATCTTTAGAATCTGTATATGTCTTTTGGAATTGGTCGGTGTGGTCGAACTTGTAGAAGGTATGTATATACTAAAAATACTGATATTCGATTATTTGTTAACGATTCGATTTATCAAACATTAGAATATATTTTTTGCTGAACAAGTGTATTCTTTACTTTCTGTATTTTTACTTTTTACTTGTATATGTGGTTAAAACAAAAAATTAGGACAAAATATAACCAATACCAATAACCAAGAACGTTTACATTCACTCACCTTTCTCAATAACATATTATTATATTCGGAGAATAAAGATAAATTTACTTTTCAACAACTCCCGCACTAGGAGTATATCCTGTGTCGCTGGGGACTTTACAAACATACATGAAACGGACACAAAGAACACCCACACTCAGAACAACAATTTGTGGATCACACAAAGTGTCGTCCCATGTGGGGATCGGACCCACAACACTCAGCGAAGTGGTTAGCGGGGCGTGGCGACCGCTTAAACCACTACGCCATCCGTGCAGTCAAACATGCATAACATTACTATTATATGTTTTTACAAGCCTCGCAATAATTGTTCTGATGATGCAATGCAATGATCTGTCGCTATCTTTACCTAGAAATTCATTTTGTTTTTAGCAACTGCAACGGAAAATTAACTGATCATGTTTTCTGCGTCATTTTATTCGTCAGTTTTACTTGGTATATTTAATAACAGTTTTACACCATTCCAATAATAATAAGACCTTCAATTAATCGCAATTGAATGTCTTAATGCATTAGTTCTTTTAGATCTCTTTTTTTCTGTAATAAATACTCGTAACTTACCATCGGCATAACATTCACATACACCCACTTCACACATTCTTTTCTTCATCTGTGGTCTTCTAAACTGTGGTCAGGATTTGATGCCTGCACTTATTTATTAGTCCGATAATTAGTGACAATAAAATTAAAGATTTGTCTGTTCTTTTGAATACGAGTAGATAGGATTTTCATAAATACACTTAGAATAAAGTTTATCAAGTTTCCTTCTTGTTTCAGAACTGGTAAACTCCATTACCCTACAAATGTGTGCGGACCATTGTTCGAAGAGGAGCTGGAGTTCTGGGGGCTGGACTCCAACCAGGTGGAGCCGTGCTGTTGGTCCACCTACAGCATACACAGGGATACACAGGTCAGTGTCTTACTTTAAAATAATACATGTGGTGTGTGTGGTGACAGATTATGAATACGGAGTATTCCGTATTCTTGGGATACCTGTATTTTTCCCGTGGATGTCGTAAGAGACGATAACTGTACTGCAACTAGAAGGAAAACTTGACACAAACCCTATACCAACCCGTCTGGCTAGCGTGGTGTAGTAAGCCAAACTCTCTTTTCTTACGTCCAGCAGTGCACTATTAAAGGCCGATGATGATAAATAAAAATTACATCTTTTATTCGTTTCCTCATACAATATGGAGTCACATTGTGGATTTTTTGGCCACGAAATTGATACGAGTTTAAATATTTTAAACGATATCAACACTAGTTGCTAGACCATTTATGGTCTACGTTTTTGCTCTATTCTGACTTATAACCGATCTGATTTGTAATTGGAACGTAGTTCCTTATCGCGCGTTGTGAAAGACGGAAAAAAATCCCACGAAAAGTTGTAACGACACTTTTTATGTCAGTCATTCAGCGCCATCTATCGAATAGATAGGAAATCATTTCTCAAGAAGATTTTACCAATGTATAAATTGTTTTAATTAGAAACCAACTGAAATAAATAATAGGTAATAGCCGCTTTCATAGATGGCGTTGAAATTAAAATCGTGTCGAATCAGTTTTACTCGATCGTCACAACTTCGTTCCTATCGGGTGTCCCACGACACCACACGGCTTTTTTTGTATCGGTTATAACGATTTCGTAAAGTAAATAGACCTGTTAAACTCCAGTGGGACACTTTATTTCTTGTTAACCACAATAATGGAACATTTTCACGGTGATTCAAATCGCTAAAAATTCTAAGACCAATGGTTCGATAATAAATGTTACAACAAAGTGATGCCGTAGTGTTGAATATGCCTAGTGAGTAAGAGAGTGAACGAATAAGTGTTTTTTTTTTATGTTAGAGGGGGCAGACGAGCAGACGGGTCACCTGATGGAAAGTGACAATCGCCGCCCATGAACGTCTGCCAAGCCTTTTAGGAAGGAGTACGCTCTTTTCTTGAAGGTTTGAAGGTCGTATCGGTCCGGAAATACCGCAGACGACAACCCGGTCCACAGATTGGTTGTGCGGGGCAAAAATTGCACACACAAAAGCGCACAGTAGTGGAGCGCCAACTATCCAGGTAATAAGGATGAAAATTTTGACGTGTGGAACGATGGCGGAAATTTACGGCTGGATGGCGAAATTGCCGAACAATTCCTCGGAGCACTCTCCATGATATATGGGATAGAGAATGCAGAGTGAAGCTACATCTCTACGTAACGCCAACCAATCGAGCCGGTCGCAAATCTTTTGGCTATCTTATGGCAAAGTGTGTGTGAGAATGAGTGAGTGTGAAAAAGTATTAAAGCCACAGTAACTAAGTTTAAAAAACACAAAATACATTGATTAGACTTAAATGCTTGGTGATGAAACATCGATCGACCAAAGTATAATTTGGCTGGCGATTGAACATTATACACACACGGCGCATACAAGCGATAAATGCACGAATAATGTTGTGTCCAAACTCACCCATATTAGATGTAAATAGTTGTGAAAAACAAAACATGTTGTACACATTACTTGTTTAAAATAATACAAAGGAAATTAAGAATATAAAGTGTCACTACCAATATTCATCCCGTGGGTGTCATAAGAGCCGACTAAGGGAGCAAAATACGCAGGATAACAGCACTGCAAAGAGAAGGAAAACTTGAAACAAACCTTATACCAACCCGTCTAGCCAGCGTGGTATAGTAGGAGAAAACCTCCTATGGAGTGGCCTACGTCCATCAGTGGACTAGTACGGAGGGGTCTCAGTGTGTTAAGAATGGTCACCCATCCATAGACTGTCCTGGCTAGGATTGCTTAACTTTGCTATGTGTTAACCTACTCGGTTACCACTTAGCCACAACTCTTACTTACTGCGTTAATTATAACTAGCTGAGACCCGCGGTGTTACCCGCGTTTGTTGTTATAACCGCGGGCAACGCTGCGGGGCGAAGCTAGTCTAAAAAAAGTAGCCTAAGTTACTTCTTATGTCATCAACTATCTGCCGGTGAAAGACCCGTCGAAATCGGTCCAGCCGTTCCAGAGATTACCCGGAACAAACAAACAGACAGACGGACAGACAAAAATTGTAAAAAATAGCGGGTAATACCGCGGGTCTCAGCTAGTTTATAATATAAGTATGAAAGTATAATAATAATTTTAATATATTGTACCACATTCACACAACGCCATCTAGTCCCAAACTAAGCAGAGCTTGTACTATGGGTACTAGTTCATGCACACAAATGTTTGACTATAGCGGGAATCGAACCAGCGACCTTTAGAATAGCAGTCCGTTAGTCAAGCCACTACGCCGTTCGTTCGTCGATAATGTTTTAAATTGGTGTAAGAATTTTGAAAATTGGTTTAGTAGTTTAGGAGTGGAAGCGTTAGCAGAAGCAGGCCGGGGTGGCGGCGAGCGCGTTGCGTAGCGCGCTCGCTTCCAGGGAGCAGAGGGAACATGGTGTTCCCACATGGGGGGGGGTCGTCTACTCGTCTGTAGATGGCCCGAGGTATTTCGGGGCACCAGGGACTTCCTTTCTAGGGTATACCTGGTTCCCCGGCTGTTAGTACCCGAGACGGCGTGTCGGTTTAGTCGGTTCGAGTCCGACATGCCACCGATAGGTGGTATCCGAGGGGATTTCCGCACGGAAAAAAAGGAGTGAAAGCGTAACAAATAAACATACAAACTAACTTTGCAATTTAAAATATAAGTATTAAAGTATGGATTTGTTCATTTGTACAACATCTGATATACTTTTTAAAGAAGCTTTCTACAAAACAGACACTAACTAGGTACTAAAAGTGACATTGTAAGTACAAATTATTGGCACCATTTCCTTGCACTTGAGCTCTAAACATTTCTCGTGATGTTTACCGGAAATTTCTTTCTATTTTATTTGCCTTGGGTCGTTTCTAGTAGCTCGCTTATCTCAACTCCAATAACGTTTCAATACTGCACGGATGGCGTAGTGGTTTAAGCGGTCGCCACGCCGCTTCCTACTGCGCCGAGTGTTGTGGGTTCAAACCCCACATGGGACGACACTTTGTGTGATCCACAAATTGTTGTTCTGAGTCTGGGTGTCCTTTGTGTCCGTTTCATGTATGTTTGTAAAGTCCCCCGCGACACAGGATTTATGCCTAATGCGGCGTTGTCTTTTAAAAACAAAACAAAACTCAGTCGTTTTTTTGCTATTGTATTGGCATTCGATATGATTTGCATAATAATGCGTACTAGTTGTCATCGAAGAATGCAATTTTTGGTAGTGGCAGCGGTGTTGAGTAGACAGTTCTATTTGGCGTCCATTGTTTTGGTACAGTGGTCAAACGAGCAGATGGATGTTCTGATGGTAAGTGACTACCTCTGCTCACCTGTTACTAACGGTCGCGTTGCTGCCCTTTAATTACCCCCTAGAAATAGAGGAAGGGGGTTCTTTTAAGTTTATTACGTTCTTAAGTGGCCTGCGAGAGAATTAGGCAATAAAGCAGCACTTTGTACATTATCTGTCTACAACATGTATAGATAAAACTAATCTAAATATAGTGTACTAATTAAGAGTTATCTACTTATCTATGTATGTGGGTCATAAATATATATGTGAGAACTAATACTGATTGTGCGAACAAAGCGTAACACTGCCTGTGTGACATAACACATCCATTAATTAATTGACGGGCCTGTTGGTCGAGTGGTTAGTGCCCCTGACTGCTAAGCCGGAGGTCGTGGGTTCGATTCCCACCCAGGACAAATATTGAGTGATGAGCATGATCATTTTTTCTGTATCTGGGTGTAATTTATCTATAATATGTATGTATTTGAAAATATATAAGTATGTTTATCAGCAGTCTGGTCACCATAGCACTGGCTCTGCCTAGTTTGGGATCAGACGGCCGTGTGTGAAATGCGTGAGGTATATTATTATTATTATGTGAGGTATTATTATTAATCAGCCAACCACATTGTTTTAGCAGAATCTATGACAAGCATTTGTAAATAAAGAAATTCTAGTATTCAGAGATGACAGATAATAGTGGCATTATTGGAAAACCGATTTCATCTGAGCTGTGAACAAATGGCAAGTTGCCAAGGTAACTTTGACTTTGGACTAAGTTGTTCCGTCTGTATTTGAGTTACCATTAAGCTTTGTCAAAGAATATGAATTTTCCTCTTTGTTTGGCTTGAAGTCTGTCTATTAGTGTCTAAAAGTTTTTGTTTGTTCAATTAGGAATGTACATAATTGATTACATTTAAAAATTTGTACTAAATTTTGCCCTCAGTTCCGGCCGCGTTTATGTCGGGTATCGCGGTAAAAAGTAGCCTATGTTACTCGCTGGTAAAGTATTTTTCCATTGAAGAAATAATTTTTAAAATTGGTTTAGTGGTTTAGGCGTGAAAGCTGACAAAGAAACTAATTTTCACTTTTATAATATAAGTGTGGTACCTTTAAATAGCTTGACGTTTCCGTACCATACCAACGACCAATAGCAGCTTCCATAACAACGATCGATTTTGGCATCCAATCACCACACAATACAAAAAAAAAATATGTATTTAAAAATAAAAAAGTTCATTGACTGTTGTAAATACGAAGCATGGATACACCTGTGTTCAGACCAATTGTATATGTGCGTTTAAAAAAATTATATGCGCGCTTGCCCTTCTTGCTATAAACTTTGAAATCTCTAAAACAACAGTACCAGTAGGTAACCAGAGTACAGTTTACAGTAACAGACAATAGATTAGGACATACACAATTATGTTGACAATATACAATACTTAAATCTAAAGTCCAATTATAAATATACACAACATTCTAATTGTACAAATGTTGTTGTGGGGCACATTCTTTTAGTAATTAACTTTTGAATAAGTTATCTCTGTTAAGAGAAATATAATTTTGATTAAATAATGAATTATTTTTTCAGTTGGTCATCATTTTTTTTT